TGGGGAGGAGGGGAGGCATTTTAATTACTCTAATTCAACAAGTTTTAGTTAAAGTGCCCCCACCACCATTTTGAAATGTGGGACACTGAAGGCATGAGACACTGCAGCATGCATATTACGTGCTGCAGCACAGATTAATCGAGTGTGCTCCAATCTGTCCGAATCAGGACGTGTTGGAGCACGTGTATAGGCACCCTAAGTTTTTAGCCCTAATACTGAAGCATATGGAGATCCTTGTGGCTCTGCATGATGGAATTTCTGGGTTTTAATTTTTTTTTCAAAAACTTAGAAGATTTAAAATTCTTTTCACTTTATAATTTAAAATAGTAAAACCAGACATTAAAAATAGGGTAATATTGCAATTAGTTTCTTGCGATCTTCAGACTGAGCAACCTAAATTAAAGAATACAGTTGACAACTCAGGCCTTACTCCATCTCCATCTGCAAAATAAGGATAATAATACTAGCTTGCCTGATCTCACATAGAGACGCTGTAAGATGGCTCTGACTTGGTTGGGGAATGGCTTGAGCTCAGTAAGTTCTTAGGATATAGGCAGCTGCTTTGGATCCTCTGAGGATGCATGACTGTTGAGGCAGAAGGTAGAAGTTACTATAGACAGTGAGCAGGGCACTTGTTTTTTGTCCATTTTAGAAAATTTCTTAATGGTGAATGAGCACTCTAGAAAAATCTAGATAGGTAGTCAGTGCTGCTACATAATCTGCATTTGCAAGAAGCATCCAGAAAGAGCACCTTCAGAGGTCAGACAAGTTCCTGAAATTTCCAGAGGACTGCACACTTGCACTTCTAAAAGCATGTAACATATTTGGTTTTATCTTTGAATGTTAGGAATTAGAAGATTTGATGGAAAAACACAGTGTCCTAGAAATCAGTTTCCTGAAAGATAAAGAAGATAAATTCATCTCACACCAAGATCATTACAAAGAGCTCCAGGTAATTCTGCTTCTTTCTCATATTTAATACCTAGCAAGTATACTACCTTATAGTTTTGATCAATAGCCCTGACAGAAAGTAGAGGTGCACTGATGGATTGGTCCAATATTGGATTGGCACCGATGTAAAGAAAATTGGCTGTATTGGAAATCGGTCTGATGTGGCTTTTAATTTGGCCAATAAATGCCCATGCATGCATGTAACCATAGTGCAGCATGTAGGAAGCGAGGAACACAGCCTGGAAGTGTGGAGAACTGTATGCAGATGGTAAGTCTGTCGTGGAAGGGGAGCGGGGAGGAAAGGAGTGGGGGGGGCAGTTCAAGGCCCTCACAGTGAGGAAGGGAATGGGGCTGGGACAGGGGCTGGGGCTGGGGTAGGTGTGGGACGGAGCCATGCTGGGGGGTGTGGGTAGGGGGAGCAGCTCCAGCTGCTGCACGCACCCTGGGAGGACATGGTGGAGGCATGCCCATGGATCTTTATGGGGTGTGGGTGGAGTAGGCTGCAGCTGCAGGCTGGGGCTGGGGCCATACTGGTTCTTTCCAGTGCAAGCAGGGGGGCGTTGGGCCATGGCTGTACTTGGGGTGGACAGTGGTGGCACTGGGAGGGGGGACTGGGGGGTTAATTTTGGGGTTCCTGCAGACTCCCACCTATAACCCCTCTCCCAGTGCTATTGCTGCCTACCCCAAGCACAGCCTGGCCCAACCCCCACCGGGAAGAGTCTGGTACTGCCCTGGCTCCAGCCCATCCTGTCCTGCCCCGCCCTGCACGCAAATCTGGAGGCACATGCCGCCCCCGGTGCCCTTCTGGGGTGCATGCAGTGGTGCGAGCCAGCCCGTTCTCCCCATGCCCCCAAGACTAAACGTGGCTCTATCTCACGCCCTGCTCCACCCCACCCCACCCGGGCTGGGCAGTCTCTGCCCCAGCCCCATTCCTTCCCTTGCTGTGGGGGCCTTGATCTGCCCCCCCCACACCCCTTCCCTCCCTCCCTCCTCCCCTTTCACCACAACAGACTTACCAGCTGGAAGCAGCTCCTCAAGCTGCTGGGCTGCGTATCAAAAATTGGATCAGTATTGGTTGATATACCTCCTTAAAAATAGGCTATTGGTATCAACCCCCAAAATCTCCATTGGTGCACCTTAACAAGACTCCTTTGAAGCCAGTAAGAGAATTTACATTCATTTTAGTAGTCTTTAGATCAGGCTCTATATTCTAAACTACACTGCTTGTCAAGACTGACCGGGGAGGGGAAGGTAGCAGGCAGGGATGGAGCCCCATGACCCCCCCACCCATCTGGGCCTACTTCTGCCTTCCATCCTGCTGCTTGGGGTCCAGGCCCGATGCGGGGAGTGGCGGGGGAAGGGAGATGCAGGCCCAGGCCCAATGCGGGGAGGACTGGGACCAAGGGTGGGGAGAAGCCAGGCTTCTGCTGTGGGGGGGGGAGCAGCTGGTCCAGGCTGACCCAGCGGTGGTGAGGTTGGTAAGTCTGTAGAGGGCATTGTCCAATTGGGGGGTGCTAAAAAAAGCCCATTCAGGGCTACGGAGGCAGGGGGGAGGGGTGGCAAGTGGCTGGGTTTACCTAGCCCTGGGGCTGTACTGTGAACATTTGCAGGCATTTCCAAGATCAGGTTAACCCTTTCTTGATCTAAGCTAGTGCATCTTGGAAATCTTCAAGAGGAGA